TCCCGTTAGCATGACTGCAGCAACACAGCTAACTGTGTTAGCAAAGGGAAAAGTACTTTGGAAAGACACACTCACACAGATAAGATCTAAAAGATGATCCACATATTTCAACAATGGATCCTCCAGAGACCGGTAGAACCTCAGAACCATCCTGGATTACTACAAACACAAGCTAGCGAGCTACTGCAGCATCCCAGTCAGGAGGAATTATTCTGCTGATCTATCATATTAAATTTGTTCTGGAGTTATTTCAATATAAACACGTAGCGGTTCAACTGGCAGCACGTTGTTTTATCTATAGATTAGTGAATTATATTGGGACGGTATGATGGGGCTAATGGTCAGCTAACAACTCGTCAGCTGAAGGCTACAAGCTTAGAAATGAAATATTCATCTAAAGTAAGCAAACTGAACTGATTTTGGTTCTGAAGATGTTCAGCATCCTCCCTGGAGTCCAGATCAGGCTCACGGGTCTTCTCGCTGTATCCCAGATCTGACCGATCTTGTCATGTTCAAGAAGCCAATGTGAAATGATTTGAGCTTTATGACATGGTGCATTATCCTGCTGGAAGTAGCCATCAGAGGATGGGTACATGGTGGTCATGAAGGGATGGACATGGTATGAAACAATACCCAGGTAGCCCGTGGCATTTAAACCATGCCCAGTTGGCACTAAGGGGCCTAAAGTGTGCCAAGAAAACATCCCCCACACCATTACACCACCACCACCAGCCTGCACAGTGGTAACAAGGCTTGATGTATCCATGTTCTCATTCTGTTTACACCAAATTATGACTCTACCATTTGAATGTCTCAACAGAAATCGAGACTCGTCAGACCAGGCAACATTTTTCCAGTCTTCAACTGTCCAATTTTGGTGAGCTGGTGCAAATTGTAGCCTCATTTTCCTATTTGTACTGGAGATGAGTGGTACCCAGTGGGGTCTTCTGCTGTTGTAGCCCATCTGCCTCAAGGTTGTGCGTGTTGGCTTCACAAATGCTTTGCTGCATTCCTCGGATGTAACGAGTTGTTATTTCAGTCAAAGTTGCTCTTCTATCAGCTTGAATCAGTCGGCCCCTTCTCCTCTGACCTCTAGCATCAACAAGGCATTTTCGCCCACAGGACTGCCGCATACTGGGTGTTTTTCCCTTTTCACACCGTTCTTTGTAAACCCTAGAAATGGTTGTGGGTGAAAATCCCAGTAACTGAGCAGATTGTGAAATACTCAGACCGACCCGTCTGGCACCAACAACCACGCCACGCTGAAAATAGCTTAAATCACCTTTCTTTCTCATTCTGACCTTCAGTTTGGAGTTCAGGAGATTGTCTTGACCAGGATCACACCCCTAAATGCACTGAAGCAACTGTCATGTGATTGGTTGATTAGATAATTGCATTAAGGAGAAGTTGAACAGGTGTTCCTAATAATCCTTTAGGTGAGTGTATAAAAATCTCATTTACTGATCTGTAGATCCTCCACTAGGGTGCGGTATGCATGTGCAGCACAGGTTGGTGTTGAGTTACAGTGGCATAATTTGATAAGTACAACTCCACAGCAATGACACACACACACACACACACACACACACACACACACACACACACACACACACACACACACAGTCATTTACATTTTTATCAACATGTGTGTTTTAAACAGGAAAAACATTACTGTGTTTTGATGTAACAATAAATTTATTAATTATTTTAATAAAAAATAAACGCACCAGGACTTTATTTCCTGACATTTTTGTTACATTGTGATGTCAGTGGCTTAAGAGTGGTGCTGTATCCGTCCATCTCAAACCACCTACAGGTGCTGTAAGCTCCACCTTTCTCCTACAGGGGGCGCTGTAACACCGACACAACAGCTGTAAGAAGCAAGGGTGCCTCATTTTAGTCACAGATTTGTAGGAATAAAATCTGAATTTTCTGCCATTTTACTCTTTATCATCAGTTCTGTGTAACCTTGCATAATAATCACTGGATTTTCTAGTTTTATACATGTCTCACCACATAAAAAAGTAAATGTTGGTTGTCCTGAGTAACTGGATCAATCACCATGTGCCTTTATTTTTCTTAGAATTAAACTAAAATCAGGGCATCAGACGTTTGTTCTTTAACAGCAAGATATCAATGACGGGCCTCCGAACACACTTTGTTTTGTAGAGATGCAGGATTGTTTATGGTTGTGTAATTACGCTCCTTGCCTTGTCTCTGTGCTACGTTTGCCTTTCTGACTGAATGAACGACTTCCTTTCCTCTGAAACTTAAAGTAATGGTCAAGCATTGACGTATATGTGGCAAGGTGGGGCAGCAAGGGCCCGGGCGGGATTCGATCCCTAGACTCCTGGGTGAGGGTCACACGCTCTAACCAGTCAGCCAAAGGGACATTTCCTTGGCCAAGACGCCAGAACGCATGATCAATCGGGACACTGTGACAGGATGCTCACACTGTCACATATAGTATATGGGTGGAGACATATTTCATTGTGTATACATACATATCCATTAACCCTGATGAACCTAATCGGTTGGGTAGATTACAGGCTTGTCTTGAGGACATAAAAAATTGGATGACTCTAAACTTTTTGCTTTTAAATCAAGACAAGACGGAAGTTCTCATCTTTGGACCAGAAATCCAGAAAAGGAAATTGCTTAGCCAATCGCTTGACCTGACTGGCATTACATTAATCTCCGAGAACAAAGTAAGGAACCTTGGTGTTATCTTTGACCAGGACGTGTCATTCAAATCCCAGGTTTAACAGGTTTGCAGGATTTCCTTTTTCCACCTTCGGAATATTGCTACGATTAGAAGCATCCTTTCCAGGAGTGATGCTGAAAAACTAGTTCATGCATTTATTACATCAAGACTGGATTAGTGCAATTCACTCTCAGGAAGTCCACAGAATGTAGTTAAAAGTCTTCAGCTTGTCCAAAATGCTGCAGCTAGAGTTCTGATGAGAATTAAAAAGAAAGATCATATCTCTACTGTCTTAGCTTCCCTACACTGGCTACCTGTTAAATTCAGAATAGATTTTAAGATCCTCCTTCTCACATATAAAGCTCTTAATAATCAAGCTCCATCATACATCAGTAATCTGATTGTTCCATACGTTCCTAACCGAGCACTTCGCTCTCAGACTGCAGGTCTACTGGTGGTTCCCAGAATATCTAAAATTAGGATGGGAGGCAGATCTTTTAGTTATCAGGCTCCTCTCCTGTGGCAGCTCCCAGCTTTAGTCCTTGAGGCAGACACTTTGTCTACTTTTAAGAATAGGCTTAAAACATTTTTATTTGATAGGGCCTATGGTTAAAATCTGATGTTAGCCTAAATCTGGACAAGTGGGGGAGTAGAGGGAGGTGGAGTGTACAGTCGGTAAAGACGGCTCTCCCTTGCCCTGACTCCAACATGCCTCCATCTAAATAGGATAGATTATCCAGAGTTATCTCTGTAGTTATGCTGCTATAGGCTTAGACTGCTGGAGGATACACTGACCACTTTTCACACTCTACTACTTTCTTCTACAGTCTGCAACTGTATTATTTTCTGCAATTTCAGCTGTTAACTTTATTTTCTCTGTAAGTGTTTTTCTCCCCAGAAGAAGCTACAACGACGTTCTGCTGAGCTGTGGTGGCCTCATGGAGGGGGCCATCGACTAGCACACTGCTGCTAACCACTAATACATTATCCCTCTCCTGATAATAACTTTTTGCTTTCCTTGACGTTGGATGTGCTACTACTAGTTTATCCGTTTAATTATCGATTCACTAGGATAAATACAATAAAGTTTATCTTTCACCAAATAGAATATTTACTAAGACATCACAATAAAACTATAGACACATTACTTGTCTTTGTGTGTGTGTGTGTGTGTGTGTGTGTGTGTGTGTGTGTGTGTGTGTGTGTGTGTGTGTGTGTGTGTGTGTGCCTGCTCTGTCTTCTCGATCCCCAGTGAGTCGTGGAGGATGGCTGCTTATACTGAGCCAGGATTCTCTGGAGGTTTATTCCTGTTAAAAGGGAGTTTTCCTCTCCACTGTCGCTTTATGCTTGCTTAGTATGAGGATTGCATCAGGTCACTGACTAGTGTCAGTGACTTGATGCAAGTTGCTGGGTTCCTTATATAGGAAACATTATTTCTGATTGGCTTAATGAACTGACCTGAATTGGAATGTTTATTATGTGAAGTGCCTTGAGACGACTCTTGTCGTGATTTGGCGCTATATAAATAAAACTGAATTGAATTGATGATAGTTCGTCGCTGACTGCGCGGCCTGGTTTGTCAGCAGGGATGGCTGTGCAGGACAGTGTCCCGTCAGCAGAGGGAGCCACATCTGAGCCTGTATCCTGTGGGCTCAGGAGGACAACTCGCATCATTAAGCCTCCAGAGAGATCGAATCTTTAACAGTGCGTGAAAGAAGAGGAAAAAAATAATAATAATGTTTTTTTATGGTACCAAGGGGGACGTAGTGATAACTGTTATGGCTCTGCCCACAAGGGGCGGTATTAGATTATCTATTTAAGGGTAGAGGAGAGCGTTGATGAGGTGAATGACAGCTGGTGAAGAAGAGAAATAAACATCTTTGCAAAGAACATGAAACGTCGTGCTTAATTCAAGAAACATTACAATGATGTCTATAGGGAGCCCATGATATGTATTCATTTTATTTTCCTTTCTTTTATATGCCCCCTGGCTAACCCTAACCATATATCTTGCATTACTTCCTCTATGAGAGTGTGTTTTATTGCCCCATCGTACTGTTCTGTTTTGGTCTGAAGTTAATCAAATAAATGGTGCGCATTCTATATATTGAAGGTCTATGTGGATCGTGCGCCGACGTAATGACGCAACGTCTAAACAGGAAGTTTGGCTGCATGCTTCAATTTTCTCCGGGTTATCTCCACACGTTGAGGAAAACTGTGAGTTTTGTTTTGCAGACTGCGTGAATGCACGAGCCACTTCTTTTGTGGTTAGTTACCAATCCCCGATGTTAACTTCGCCTAGCATTCATCAGCTAAACCAGAGGAGTCCATCAGGGATCCGAGTCTGGGTTCGGTTCTGGTTACACTTTGACCTGAATCGCTTTCTGTGGCTCTTTTCACCAGTTGTGGCTCTTTTGTCGCTTTGACCAAAAGTGACATGAAGCCAATACATGCACGTTCGTCCGTTATGTTTGAGTAGTTTAGTCCCACTTTTATTAGGGAATGGAAATTAAATATGAGAATGACACCAAAACGCACAGGGGTTCAAGCATCGTTTTAGTACCAGAGTGACTCGAGAGGTCTGTTGATTTTCTGGTCCGGATTATGGGGAGCACTTTCTCCACCCTCACCGTTGGGGGAGCTGCACGGACCATCCGGGTTCTGTCTGATGGTGGGAGAGGGGCTCTGTTCTGTGGCGAGGGTAAACTGATAGAGCACATAGAAGTGTGTATATATACATATCATACATAATATATACGTGTCTGCGAGTACAGCTGCTCTTTGAGCATGGGAGCTCTGTTGTTTGCATGTGTCATTCTCATTACTGTAACAACCTGTTTAAAATAAACAGATGTTAATGTCATTTACAGTAAGTGGTGTGATTCCCTGTGCTTGTGCTAGTGGATGGACTGAGTGGGTGCAATGGCAGCAGGCAGACTGAGTTTCAGGAACATCACAGCCCTGGCCCCCATGGTCCGGGTGGGGACTCTTCCTATGAGGCTGCTGGCTCTAGACTATGGAGCAGACTTGGTTTACTGTGAGGTGAGGATGGAACAGACCATTCTACTGAGCTTGTACTGCTCACATTAATAAAGTGTTGATGTCTGTCTAGGAGCTAATCGACCTCAAAATGGTCCAGTGTCAGCGGGTGGTGAACGGTAGGATTCAGAACTTTACCTTCAACAAAGAAAAACTCCAGTTTTGTTCAATCAGATTTTATTTTCAGTCAAGAAAAAATAATCCAGTAAGGGCTTAACAGGTTTAGCCTGGTACTTTGCTCCACATAGAGGCATTCTGTTGGACATACTGTGGTCTTCATTGTGTGTGTGTGTCTCAGAGGTGCTGGAAACTGTGGACTTCATAGCTCCAGATGATCGTGTTATGTTCAGGACCTGCATGAGGGAAAAGGACCGAGTCGTCTTCCAGATGGTGAGACAGGAGTTCTTTTCTCCACTTGCTGTCCGTTTTGCACACTGCTCTGAAGACATCCTTCTGTTTCATCTCATTTTTTAGGGAACTGCTGACCCAGACAGAGCTTTGGCAGTGGCTCGTCTTGTGTGAGTTTACCAAAAACAGCTGGAGCTGACACGAAAACCTTTTCAGCAGGAATCTGTGACGTTCTGTTGTAATCACCTTCATCAGCTGTAATGATTAAGTAACTCTGGATGATCTCGCATTGAAGTCACAGTACCACTGATGTATGTGGTTAGAGACGATGGCATCTGATCCGTTTATTATGCAGCTGATTTAATGCTACATGTATAAAAAAAATGAAGCCAGCTTCTAGAAGGGTCCGAGTTGTTAAGTGTCTCTTGATGCATTACTGAACCCAGTCAGATGATTGGCCATCTGAATATGTGCGTGTGTGTGTCTCAGGGAGAAAGATGTGGCGGCTATTGATGTGAACATGGGCTGTCCAAAGGAATACTCCACTAAGGTGAGTTCATGCGGGTTCTGCTGTTTAAGCTCTGAACCTCAGGCTGACCCCTGACCTCTGTGCTGTCCTGCAGGGTGGGATGGGAGTTGCTCTTCTCTCCGATCCAGACAAGATTGAAGCTGTGAGGACTCCAATGTGAAAAACTCGGTGTTTTTATCGGACAGAAAGAGTGTTGGCCTTTTAATCTTGTTCTGCTTTGTCTTCCTGTAGATCCTGAAGAAGCTGGTGACAGGAGTTTCTATACCAGTCACATGTAAAATTCGAATCCTGCCTTCAGTAAGATGCCCTTCCGTTTTTCCTACTATTATTAGTTTTCATGTTCTAGTCTTCAAATCTATATTTCTGCTGTTGATCATGTTTGGGAGGCCACGTCTCATTGTTTTCTTTAAAGAGGGACTGCACACCATCAGAAAATGTAACTCCACCCCTAGTCAAGGTTTGAAAAATGCCATGAAGGTGGGCGTTGCCAGGAGGCACGGAGTGGCATGGCCAAGTGTGGGGAATTTCCACCCTGGGAGGGTGGGCGAGTGGGAGGAGACTGTACCGATAATCCAGCTCCAGTTCCAATCACAAGTTTAAAATGCAGTAGCTGCAGTTCTGCCACAGGGGGGCAGCACTAAGATGTTTTTAGACCTAGATTCTAGATTTAATCAAGTTTACACAAACATGTAAACAATGCACAGAAACAGAAAGATTACATTTGTAAAGACCCAATTATACAGTTTATAAGCAAAAAACGTTATTATAGGGTTTAATTACTCGTCAATTATAAAAAAATTCCAAAGGGGTTTGAATGAAGGCAACTGGACTTCTTTTGTTTCTTTGAGGTGTTTTGCTTCCCATCCAAGGAGTTTAGTAAATTCTGCCTCAGTCTGCCACTGAAGGAGCTCTCAGGCTCCACAGCAGCTTCATTAGTAATGGGACGTACGACTCTTTGAGGGGAGGTGGTCATTAGTCGGTTGTTTACCTCAAAGAGCCGTTCAAAAGACTGGCCCAGGGGTTTAAAAAGACTGGCAACTTGTCCCTCTGATGTCTGTGAGAGTGCACAGCGGGTGTTGGCGCATTCTGCTGATGTCCGTGAGCGAGCAGGGTGGGGGCGGGGCGTTACAGGAAGACAAGATGAACGGTTTTCTGCAAGGACTCGGCTCTCATCATTCACTTCGAAAACCGGTTCAAAAGATTTGATTAGTTTCTTGGACGTCACATCACTAAGCTTCATGTAGGAGGCTGGAGACATTGTCGAACGGTGGTGTTGTGTTTGCTAGAGTCCTTCTGTCTCCCACCTCCTGCACTGGCTTGAGGGGGCATTCTAGAACAGAGATGCCTTTTACTGAGCTCACTCATTCATTCATCATCACAAAAGTTGGCTGATGGCTCAACTGAGTCAAAGGAGGTACTTAGGAGCATTATGTAAGACCATGGAGAGAGTAGTTGGAAACCATTCTGGACTAGAGCTCCCACTACTTATGGTTAGGGAACAGCAGAAGACCACTCTGCTGTTTCCCGGTTTACTGTAGGAGTCTCTTCATATCTGTGACACCAGCTCACCTCTCCTGATGACTCCCAAAGATTTCATTCAGTTTCAATCCCATCTCAGAGGTAGAAGAAGACTATTTTTATATAGCGTCGCTCAAGATAAAAATTGTGTATAAAACCTTCAAAGTTCCAGATCCCTGAATGTCAGCTGGATTTCTCCGTGGCTGCACCGGCCTCACTAGCAGATAAAAAGAAAGGAAGCCATTTTTACAACCCACTTAGTAATCATCCAACCTTTGATCAGCTGTTCGGTCCTCAGACGCCATCTCTATTTCTCCAAATTAAGATTTTTCAAAGCGGTGAGATTCATTCCCTTTCTACAGAAACCCACAACAGGAAGTCCCTTTACCAAACTAATCGTTAGAGGTAACGTAACGGCTGTTAGAAAGCAAATAAAACAAGCTGAATAGATGAGGTTGGAGGCCCAACTTTGATCCAGAGTCGGACGCTGAGTTCTGTGTTTGGCTGCTTTCAGGTGGAGGAGACGGTCAGTCTGGTCCAGAGAATCGAGAAGACCGGCATCGCTGCCATCGCTGTTCACGGGAGGTATGACCCGTCTCTTAACTTCTCTGACTTTATAAAGAACACAAACATCTGAGTCTAAATAAAACACGGTTTTAATGGTCATGGAAGCTACTACCCTTTTATCTTAGTCTAAATTAAATATTACTAAACAGACTTATATTAAACATGCCTTTTCCCATTAAAGTAAGTGGGGTTTGTTTATGTGTGTATGTATGTCGTAATGATTTTCTGATGAAGAGTGTAATCAGTTTCCTCTGATGTGTTCAGGTTTAAAGAGGAGCGTCCCCGACACCCAGTCCACTGTGACTACATCCAGGCTGTGGCTGGAGCGGTGTCAATCCCTGTTATTGCAAAGTGTGTGAAATTAACAGCTCCATTCATTTGAGGAGAAATTAAATCTTGTGTTTTGTGTCTCTCTGTAATCGTCTGAGCCCTGTTTCATTAGCTTTGCGCTGAGCTGTTCTTCTGCGTTTCAGAGTCTCACGCAGCAGATTGTCAAATGATGACTAACTGGAACGTAATGCACCTCCTCAGGAGGCAAAGAACCCAATTCAGGTGTTTTAGCTGATCCTTAAATGTGTCTTCTTCAGCGGCGGCTCATTGGATCTAGTCAGGACCCACGCTGACGTAGAAGAATTCAGAAAGGCAACAAGTGCCTCGTCTGTCATGTTGGCCCGCGCCGCCATGTGGAACGCATCAGTGTTTAGGAGCCAGGGACTGCTACCTGTGGAGACTGTCATGGAGGAATATCTCAGATATGTAAGTTTATTCAGATTAAGTGGTGTCTCTAGAGCTGCTTTCCTCTGACTAGCAGCCACAGGAAACTTTCAGGAGAGAGAAGAGAATGCCTAGGGATCTCAGAGAGATGTATAAAATGAAATCCCACTTTCTGCAGTGAACCTGTGTCCGACTCCGAGATGAAACTGGATGGCAGAGTGTGTCATCGGCTCATCCTGGCTAGATTTGGCCTCCATGCTGACTGTTTACTGAAGCATCATTGCTGCTCAGCTAAAGCGGAGTTTTCTGTTGTTGTGTCACACAGGCGGTCCAGTACGATAACCATGCCTTTAACACAAAGTACTGCCTGTGCCAGATGCTGAGGGACAAGGTGGAGTCTCCTCTGGGCAAGCAGGTTCAGGCAGCTCAGACCAACGCGGAGATCAGGTGCAGCAACCACACCAGATCTTCAGGAGTTGTCGTGAAAAGTGTTTTGTAATGTGATACGTGAACATGTTGCTGTGCTGCAGTGAAGCGTATGGCCTGCAGGAGTTTTACCAGCAGACCCAGGATCGTCTGCAGACCAAGAGGGACACCCTGCAGAGGAGCAGCCAACCAAGCTGTCCCGTTATGGATGGAGACATCATCACTATGGCTATCAAGTTTGAACGGTCAGTTTGTGCTGGTCTGCATGAACTAAATGCTTATTTTCTTAAAGGTGCAACAAGTGAGAATTCTACAGTGAAATAATTACAAAACAGTTTAATTTCTTAAAGGGGCATTATGGAAGTTTGACAGCCAAAACATGTATAGAAATAATAAATTTCTTCTTCATACATTTTCTTGCAATGCCCTGGTCCTGTAGAATGAGCCCTGGCATTTTTCTGTGATTGCCTGTTTTTCTGTAAAATCACAGAAAAAAAGAGAGCTGCTCGGGTCGAGCAAGCTGCTTCATGCGCGTTCACGCTCAGGCATAGCCCGTAGCATTTGCTATCCGTAGCTTAGCAGCAGAGAGAGAGGCAGTGCCAACTCAGCGACTTTGTCGCAAAGTCGCTGTTCCTAACGCCTAGTGATGAACCTAGCTACATTTCTGTGGACCCTTAGCTACTTTCTTCTAGATATTTCCTGCAAATTAGCAACAAAATAGCCATTTTCGCTCCGAACCGCTCTGTGGATTGACGTTGTTTCAGCTGTCATCAAGGATATAAATGTTACAGATACATTTAATGTTACTGGTGCTTTAGCTCACCTAGTAAGATGGCTGCCTCTCATGCAGAAGACCCAGGTTCGATTCTGGGTGTGAACATAGTTTGTTATTTGTAGTTTCTTTTTTACATTAATGGTATATTTTTTTACAGTAATAAGAAGCCCAAATTTTTATTTGAGACTCACCGAAAGGCATTGAATTCACAGATAAAAAAGATGGGTTCAGCTTTCATTTTGGAACAATTTTTCAAGCAAGGGAAGGGAATGATCTGAGCATGCAGGAGGACTGACCCATCTTAAACCTTTGTCGGCTGTGCTGAAGAGAAAGGTACAGAACCACATTATTTAATTAAGTAGCTGCGTGTTCTCCTGTCCTCTGTCCTCCGGGCCACACACACACACACACAGCACGTTCGGCCGGCCGGCCGACGAGAAAGTGCAGCTGCAGAGACAGAGGCACATTATTTTTATTAATTTGCTGTGTTCTTCTGTCCTCCGGGCCCCACACCCACACACACACACACACACACACACACACACACACACACACACACACACACACACACACACACACACACACACACACACACGACTGTCTCCGCTGTTATTTTCGTTAAGGAGTGTGCACGTACAGCATGCGCGCCTCGTGCACGAGCCTTCTATTGAAGCTGCCGTTACACTTTTGGCCTGAGGGGGCAATCGCGAGCATAAAATTCTAAAGTCCGAAAAGTCCCTTTAATCATGTTGGAAGGAAGGTTGTATTGAAAAAGGCTAACTTTGAGCTAACAATGCTAACGATAAATTAGGAGCAAATAGAGCTGTGAAAAACCAACTTTATCACAGTGAAATTAATTTATCTACTGATCAACCTACTGTGTATGACTCATTATCTAGAATCTTCTGGTGCTGATCCGTAGCTAGCAACAGTTGCTCAGAGCAGACTCGTTTGTTTTGATACATGGTCTGCAGTACCCACATTTGATTACAGGATGTCATTACGTCATGCACCTTTAAATTAAGTTATAGCTCTGAATCTCAGTTGGGTGCAGTTAAATGGGGGTGGGGCTGTATATGTTTACAGATGCATATTCATTTGTGGAATAAACTGAAATGTGTTTGTGGTTCAGCACTGTAGCAGAAAGCTCCCCTATATCAAGTCACCATTGGTCATCCAGTCTGAAGATGGGGTTTGGTTTTTGGTTGCAGGAGGGAGTATCCACCTCAGATCACACCAAAAATGTTCCTGCTGGAGTGGAGCCGCAGAGAGAAACTGGAGCAGCCTCGATACAAAACAGTATGCAAAATTCTCCTCTGTTTTTATCTGAGAATCAGCTTCCTGTTTAGTCTTTATCTCCTTCCTGTGGACACGTGGTCCAACCATGAAACTTGTACTGTCTTTTGGTTTTTACTGATAAACTTGTTCTTCTTGACTTTTAATAATTAACACATTGTTTGCTCATGGAACAACCTAAGAAGAAACTTAACACATGATTCATTAAATAACCCTTGTTTATAACACATATAAGAACGTCTGACTGCAAAGATCCTTCACCTGATCCTAATAAGTTCAACAAATGTAGAAGAATCCTATCAACATCTTAACCTGCACCTGATTTAGCACACTTTTACATCTTTAATTTCCTTTTTAATTAAAAACAAAAGATATATTTGTCCCAAGATGTCCTTCCAGCACATGAAACTAGCTAAACCTTTATTAACCCTCGGGCGTCATTAGGGACGTTTTGGTCCATTTGGGCAGTTTTTCCGTTTTTGTGTGGATGCCATTTTAGCAGTTTTTGTTCATATGGTGCAAAATGTTGTCATAAAACCTCTTTCTTGACAAATTTTGAAATTCAAAAAGGAATTTTGAAAAAGAACACTCTGGGGAAAAAACCGTCTTGTGACCTTAGAGGACAAAACATCCATTGACTTCCATTCAAACCACAGTTTTTGATCCTGTAACATCTGCAAAAATAATCATGTGTTCTGTGATATTAGGGCTTCATTTCAGTGAAAAGTAGTCAAATTTGTGATTTTTACTGTTCACCACCAAAATCAGTCATTTCTCCATTAGTGGCCCAGGCGAGAAAGTTTCAACCTTTTTTTTTTTAGATCTGCCTTTTGTATTGAAATCAAAAGGTCAACTTGACCTTAGACAAGTGAATAAAACAGTTTCACTCTCTTACTGAACTTCAAAGTGTAGAAAACAAAAACAGTTAGTTAGTTTATGCACCTGGCTGGAGCCAGGCACCATCTGATGTCTGCTTGATTCATGCCAGTGATCTCTAACAGACTAACATCTTTTCCACGACCACCAGATGTGTCTTTCCACATGGTTGCTTAAGAAATGTGGAGCAACTGATCGCACCAGTTGAGGCTAAATAACTTTTTACCGGCTGAAAGATCATCGCCCATGCAGTAATTATCCAATAGGAGCTAAATCCAGGTGGAGACTTGTTTTTGGGCTGAGCAGTGTGTTGTAATGGAATGAAATGACAGTTTTCCACCACAAGTCATTTCTGCCTCTCCTCTGACACAGAACTAGTCTGCATGAGACTGCCTCAAGGTCTCATGCATTTGTTATAAACTGCTTCTTTCCAGCTCAAGACAAGAATGAAGAATGGACTCTCTCCTTTTAATAAATCAAAGAACTCTATTTTTAATAAGGCTAATCAAACAAAGTGTTAGTCAATAATAAGATGTGACCAATCTGTGAAATCAAAGTACTAATTACTTTATTATAATCCTATAGAATATAATAAGTAATATGACTTTAAATGTTTCCACTAGGACTGATCTCACGTAGCGTTAAGAGACGACACATTGCTTTTACTGATCCAATCAGAATCTGCCAGATCTGACGGAGGCGTGGTTTTGGTGGTGCTTGGTAAATCTGTCACCTTTTCATTCGACCATAAACCAAAACATCTAAAGTATAAACCTATGCCCACGTCATCGTTAACGCAGTTCAAAGCGTTCTAGAGAAAGTGTCGGAGTGGCCAATCCGTGACTCTCCTCTTCAGCCAAAAGAACCAACAACAAGCTGGATAAAATCTGATGCTGTTCCAACCAAGCAACAGTTCCTTTCAGAATAAAAGCTGAACCATCATGACCCAGTTTTGGGTCTCGCAAGATGCCAACAAACTGTCGTGACCCGGAAGTATCTCAAAGACTGGTCTGGTCGGCAACCGCTGCTTTTCCCACTGGCTTCGGTTCCAGAGAAGGTCAAGCTGGACCTCTACATTCCTGATCTAACGGGGACTTCCACAAGGGTAAGTAGGCCGACAGAATGGCGTCGAATGTGTTTATGAATCTCCTAACCAAAGCTTAACGCGAAGACATCACCTTCATTTCCCATCAGAACTAATCGTTTCTTCGGATTTGCTGGTTCTGAGCAACATTCCACACTACACCATTCTCCGTCTCATTCACCTTAGTTACACCATACATTTAGTGTTAAAGTCAGTCTAGTTTAATTTGTTTAGTAATAAACCTTTAAACTTTTAAAACTTGACTCTCTCTTCTGTTGTCTCTGAATTAATACGAAGTTGTTACATAATCCCTGCAATAAAAAGTTCCAATCTTCTGGTTAAACAGTACCCACAGATCAATAAGACTGATTTCATATTTACTATGGAATCTTATGTCTTATGGCTAATTAAATAACATGTAAATTACACCATCAATCAAATCAAATCAAAGATACTTTATTAATCCCAGAGGGAAATTAAAGAGTTCATATATACGCATTACAGTGTATGTGTGTATATATATATATATATATATACACACCGTAAATCCTCTAATACAGGCCCGGGCCTGTATTTGCCCGAAGCTCATCAAGCTCCAGGTCTTTATTGGAAGGAGGGCCAGTATTAGAGGCAGGCCTCTATTTCTATTTGAGCAAAATGAACTAATGGTTCGCTGGAGTTTTTGACAATTAAAATTGCGCCCACATTTTCTAAGTTAAACACATTTCTTTTAACAACGGTAGTTTCTGCTTCAGCCCTCTCCCCCCTCCCCCTGCGCAGCGGCCGCAAACTCACTGATGCGCCTGCAGCCTCTCAGAGTTCCTGCTGCTCTAAACATTAAAATAATTATTTCATTTTCTGTTCCTCACTTCTGATTACCTTCAATGGTGTCTGTTTGTTGCAACCACCAGGTACAAAAACTAACTTGTTTTTATTTGACTATTTTTCTGTCCTGCCTGTTTATTATCTTCCTGCATCTCCTCTCAATCCTAAAGAAAAACTGCTACCTGGGTTCATATATATTCACCTCATGAGTTACCTTTGAACTGCAGTTCTAAAAGATCTACTGACCGCAAAAACAGCGGAGTGCTCGCTGCTTGGTGGCCGCGTGATCGTTGCGTCACCGGGTGACAAGGTGATGCGCCCCGCTCCACAGCCAAACGCATCAGGCGCAAATAAAAGACCGAAAACATCAAAGGAAATGAACCGACATGAACGATCGCGTGTTAAATGTGGCGACACCTGATTGTTACTGTGGCCGTGCTCAGGAGGCAGATTACCGACCGCAAAAACTGCGGAGTGCTCCGAGCTTGGCGGGCGCATCAGTGATCGGTGCGTCACTGGAGGACAAGCTGATGTGCCCCGCTCCACAGCATGCAGTGAAACACATCAGACGCAAATAAAAGACAGAAATCTTTAAAGGAAATGAACCGACATGAACGATCGCGTGTTAAATGTGGCGACACCTGATTGTTACTGTGGCCGTGCTCAGGAGGCAGATCTACCGCAAAAACAGCGGAGTGCTCCGTGCTTGGCGGGCGCATCAGTGATCGGTGCGTCACCGGAGGACAAGCTGATGTGCCCCGCTCCACAGCATGCAGCGAAACACATCAGGCGCAAATAAAAGACAGAAATCTTTAAAGGAAATGAACCGACATGAACGATCGCGTGTCAGTACCGACGCTCTGGCACAGCCTCCGCATGGTTAAAGTTACCCTCGCGGTCTATCACTGGCAAATCAAAAGTGAGACGATGACACAACCGCCCACCGTACTTGCTTGTTACCACATTCCACCCGGCCACAATAAAAGACCGGCCTTTATTCACCTCCGCCGACTCCGACACCGGCCTAAATTGGAGACCCGGCCTTTAATTGAATACCGGCCTGTATTAGAGGATTTACGGCATATATATATATAATCTATATATATATATATATATATAATCTATAGATGATCATCCCCTTGAATCGGATTTAAATAAAAACTTTCCTCATTGAGTTCTGCTGAAGATGTAATTCAGTCATTTCATCAGGTGTGTTGTTGAAGCAGGTCTGTCACATTGATTTTAAAACTTGATGACTGTTTTGTGTTTTTCTACTCTCCTGCACCTGATCTTGAATTGCTGTGTATGAAATGTGCTATATGACTGTAGTTGTTTGCTTATCAAACCAAAGCTGTTTGGAATCCCAGGTGTTTCTTGCTTCAGAACAAATGTTGTGTTCTCTTGGAAGTGGCCTGTTGCACATCCACTTGTTTCTGTTCATCCCACAATAAGTAGCAGTTATTATATCTGATTGCTGCCACAGCATTCCCTTGAATAGGTAAAGGGTAGCGGCGGTAGAGGAAACCACGTGAGCAGGGCATTATAAAGTCTCACACATGGTTGGTGTGTTACAGTTCAGTTCTCTAGCTCAGTGCTAGCTGTAGGAAATGCTGCAGCGTGGGTTGTGGCTGCCATTGCTCAGTGAAAATGTTTGTGGCTTTTGTTTTTTTCAGGTGCAGCGTTCTCAAGATCGAGCCTTTCAGTCCACAGTGACTGTAGCAAAGAAGAAATACCGATCATCACTTTGGTTAGTGAGCGTTTAGGTTCTGTGTTCTGTTTGAGATCACTTTCAGTCTCACCATTGTTCATTAGTATTAGTAAACAGGCCAGTTACCTTCCATCTGTTTATCCATCTATCTGAATTCCGTCTCCTGAGTCCTTTTGAAGAGGAGCAGCAACGGTTTTCCAAACTCCCTCAGGATGAAGGAGCTCCTCCCTTTTATCTGCGACTGAGTCCAGCCACCCATCTGCTCACATCCAGAATATTGTTCTTTCAGTCATGATCCAAATCTCACAGCTGTGGCAGGGTATCCGCAGGTCCTTAAAAAGTCTTAAATTAGCTTTTCCAAATTTAAGGCCTTAAAAATCCTTAAAAATGACAAATAATACTTGAATACAGTTTCCAAAGGGCTTAAATTTTCAAAGACCCAATAAACAAGATTATTTTACTTTTATCAAATTTTCGTGAATTTCTAGTTAGTCTTCAGCATTTTGTGTGTATGATGTTGGTGTAAGCAGAACCGTACACATTCAGTTGGTTGTGAAAGGGGGCTATTTTTAGATGAACACATTAGCTGGTTAAACTAGTGGGAGCTTGCGCCATGGGGAAGTGCAAGTTTAATGGTAACTGGATGGTTAATCCCATGTTCGCAACGTGGTTAGCACCGGTTCCAGGCAATAGCTGTAAATTAAAGCTTAAATTTAATTTTAAAAATAGCTTAAATTTGGTCTAAGTGGCCTTAAAAAAGGTCTTTAAAAGTCTTACATTTGGCTCCCTTAAACCTGCAGGTACCCTGTGTGGGTGAAGGTGTGAACATAAACGGACCAGTAAATGTAGAGCTCGGCCTGAAGATTGTACTTGTGAGTTAGTCTGGGTTGGATTGGTCTGGGTTAGATTAGTTAGGTTTGTTAGCTCACACGACAGATGCTGTTAAACATGAAACGTATCTTACCTGTTAGACCTGTAGATGGCATCCTTCTGCCATAACACACATCACTGTACCGTAACCATTTAACTATTTACCATGCTAGCTAATATGGTGTGGTGTTTTATGGTAAAAATGAGTCAGTTTTTAGATCTTTTGGTCTATTCTTCAGAGTTACAGCACCTCCAGCATTTTGGGGAAACCCCGTGAACAACAGGTCCAAACTTCCAGAACTCAGCCTGAATCTCCTCAACCTCATGTTGCGTTTTCCTCTCTGCTAACTCCATCAGGGAGAAGTCAAAGAAGTTTGCAGAACAAGCTTCTGCTATTGTTTGCCTGCGAGTTTTGGGAATTCCAGAGGGTCGGCTTGGCGAGGATGACTCTGGCCTGGTCTGCAAGAGGAAGAGGGAGGGAAGGTCCAACGGTAACAGCGAAGAAGAGAGGGGCAAGAAGCTACACGTAGAAGCAGAGGCCTCAGAGCCTGCAGCACCGGCCGAGGGAGAAGGTCCAAACCATCCTACACAGTTAGCGGGGACTTTATAAGGACCCGGTCAGACCCCAGCTGGGACAGAAGCAACAAACATCTTTAAGAGACGGATACAAAGACTTTTTATTTAATGCTGAAGGGAGACGTCATCAGAACTGTTCATGAATTCTGTTGAGGATCAGCTCAGCCTGCAGTTCTGCTTCATCTGACATAAAACCACATTTTAGTTTTGAGCTTCAGGTGTGGAAGAAAAACCAACAGAATGACGATGCAGATGTGCTTCTTCAGTTATTCCACAGAACACATCATCTTTGATTCTGATGCTTCTCATAGGAACATTTGCATCTGACTTTCATTCTTCTATTGTTCATTCTTTTTTGACAAAGAACAAAATGTCATTTACTTTACACACACAATACTGGGAAAACGTTTGAATCCACTCCTCACTTCTTATTTATCCATCAGACAGATTTCCTGGAATAACAGTTCTCCAAAGGTTCTGAAGGTCTAAAATGTCTTTCTATGGAACTGAGCTCAGTTTGTGTGTGTGTGTGTGTGTGCGTGTGTGTGTGTGCGTGCAAGCACGTATAAGGCAAGACACAAGTCTTGACAACTCTCCCCTATAAGTAAAGCACATAAAGCTGCAATCATTTCTGCAGTCTTCAGCAATTTTTTTATTTTGTCTTTCTTCACACCTGTTCTCGTGTTTCCTCAGACCTGTGTGAAATCTTACTTCTGTAAAGAACTTCTTTTCTGTTGCTTCATCCTACATTTTCTCTCTACAGCTGTATTTTGGTTTGTATCCAACTGTTACCAGTTACCAGAACCAGCCTGTTTCAGACCCATTTTGACCTGAAAGAAGAAAGCAGCACCAGCGAGGGTTACATTCCATTTAGAGCAGGAGTGTCCAGCCCAGAGGGCCACAGTCCAGCATGTTGTAGTTTCCCTGGTCCAGCACACTTATTGCAATGGCTGAATTACCTGTTTCGCAGGTCATCAAGCCCTACCGAAGCTTGTTAACCCTCTGGAGGCAGGCATTGCAGATGTGCAACGTTAAAACCTACCTACCTGGTTACTCTACATATGTATTTCATGAGAAACTTTTAATTCGGAAGTACCCCTGAAGGACTTAGTTATTCGTCCTTTTATCAAAACTTACTTTGAGCCTGAGAGGGTTAATTACGTACATAATGGAACAGCAGTGGCTCAGGATGTAGAGTGGGTCGGTCTAGTAATCGTGGTTGCTGGTTAGATCCCGGCTCATCCTCTCATTGTGTCCTTGGGTAAGACACTTCACCTGCCTTGATCCACCTGCTCAGTGTAAGTTTGTCTGGTGCTTTAGAAACTGGGAAACCTCTAAAATATGCTGGATAGGGGTCCTCAAGGGCTGGGCTGGGCACCACTCATTTTGAAGAAACTTAAATGGAATGCAGCTGAACATTTTTATCAGAACAGCTGCAGGAATAGATTCCAGCTGTAAACAATTAAACTGAACACATATCCAGATGTGTGTCTGAAAACCTGATGTAAGCATGTCGCATCAGGACAATTACAAAAAATCTGATGATTTTAAATAGAACAGGTGTTTGTGCACGTGCGTGCGCAGGACAGGTGAAGTCATTCCTGGACCGTGTGACCCTGAACTGCATATAATGGTGGGTATGGATGATATGTTTCAGGGCTACTAGACTCCCAATTAATTATGTCGATCCTAGAGTTTCCGAGGGAGCATGAACGCAGCAGCAGGCTCAAGCTAAAACTTCACGGTGGAGAAGTTGGTTCTGAAGCAGGATGTTACAGGTTCGGTTCCGCTAAACGGACAGCTTTTATTTAGTGCAGATGTGTTTGTAAAAGCTCCAAGCGGAGGGATTGTTGTCGGCGCTTCGGTTAGACGGAGTTCTGCTTTCTCTCGGATGGACCCGAGAGGCGGCGGTTAAACGGATCCCGGTGTTTCCATCAAGCTTCTCTAAGTCCAATGTCTACTGAAAACGGTGCAGACGAACTGGACTTCACCCTCTTGTTTGGGGAGGACGGAACAAAGACAACAGGTAAGACGAGTCGGGCTGAGCCAAATCAAGCTAAAGCAGTTAGCAAAAGTTACGGAGGAAGTCGGACATGTTCTTCAAAACATAAACAGGAAAACCAAGTTTCTGCCAAACGCCTGGTACTGTTAAGACCAGAGCTAATATACGGTTAGCAGCTTCTGTCGGGACAGCTCAGATACGGCCACGTTATCGTGACGTCACATTAAACAGACTGGTGACAGCTGTGGAGGATGTTTTTATCTTGTTCGGCTGACTTGAGACACTCCTGAGTTTATCAGTAGTACCTTTATGTACAGTGGCGGTTCTACATCGAATTACTCCCCGGGCGAGGCCCCCTTTGAGCGCCCCCAACCGCCCCACCACCACCACCACACCACCCCACCTGCACGAACACACGCATGTTTTCTACAAACAGGCATGTTTTATTAGAACGACTATTGAACATTCATTTTTCTAAGTTGCACTTATTTACATTAATTACTATGAAGTTGTCAGAATGTAAAGCAATATACATTATATACTGTATCAAAATATATAGAATCAAATATACAAAAACAAACAATAACTAAATATTAAGAATATATGAACATAATAGATAATAAATATTCTAAATAGCAAAAATATTTCACACATAACAAACTAAAGATAATCACTACAGCATTGCACTTAGAACAGAAAACAAACTAAAATTAAAACCTAACCTTGATGCAATGTCATCAATAATGTCATCATATGAAATCTGCTCCCCTACTGAGTGATTGATACTAATCAGAGCCAGGTTAGTGAGCCGCCCCTGAAACATAGGTGACCTCAGGTATGACTTGATCAAGTTTTGAAAAGCTCCTCTCAGCTTGAGCCACAGTGACTGGCAGAGCAGTCCAAAAGTTGGGGTAGATCTCCAATAGATCTTTATCATGATCCATAATATTTTAGAATTGCCTCTGAAATTGTAATTTAAACTGACATAAAAAAAACTGTAGACTACCAAAAATGCCAACATTTACAGAACAAATCATGTAAAAATAATCAGTGCAGCCATCTGCAATAAATAAACAGGAGAGTTAGTGGTGACTGGGGAGTTTTCTTCTGCTTGTAGAGTTCTTTTATTTATTATTATGTGAACATGATCAACATGTGTTAGTTGTTGTTCAGGCAGGCCACAGGCTGCAGTGAGCATTTAACAAATCCTAGTTTGAATCAGTAAAAAACGATTCAAGGACTTTTTTCGAACCATTTGAATATTCGTTTCAATATTTCAGCCCTATTAGCTCTGTTAGCAACTAGTTGACCGCATTTAACCGTTAAACATGCATCATGCAACATGCATCATGAGAGCTACATACCTTTATCTTTCTCCTCTTTTTTTCTTTTTTTTCCCCCTGAATGGGGGCACCTGGTGGTTTTAGCCTTTTTATGTTCATCTCTTCTGTTTGGCTCCTGACTCAGAAAGTTTCCTTTAGTCAGGACTAAACTATTTGACCTTGATGGGGGTGTGACCACAAAATCGTTTTGTTTTTCCTTTTTTTATTCGGCCATTTCACACAATTCAGAGAAACCTGAAAGAATGATAGGCCTGTGTTTATGATATTATGAATGAAATATGGAAGAACGTTAAGATGTGATTGACTTTAGCCATGTTAATACAGTTGATTCAGCCCCTGCACGCTCATTTCATTTGGGAAAGACGCAGAGGTGAATTCCCCCGCCGCACCCCTCCCCTTCCTGTTCTTCATACACACACGGTGCACGTGAACGTTCTCAGTCAGCAGGAGTATCGCGCACCTGCAGCTGCAGGGGGCGCCAACTTGCTGTTTCCAATCCAGACACTGTCATATGACAGATAATAGAAAACCTCGGTGCGGCGCAGATTTCCTTTTTTTTTTTTTTTTTACTCAGCGCTTGTGCGCCCCTTTTGTGTCATGAAAAAATGCCGCCCCGGGCAATTGCCCTGTCTGCCCGTGCCTAAAACCGCTACTGTTTATGTACCCAAGTGTCACGGCCGTGGTAATGTGTACTTATACACGTATGTACTAGTGTAAGTATGGGGTATGTGTGTACAAACATCTATAGATGTTTTTACACAGTGAAATATCTATCCATTCATTTTCGTCTGCTCATCCGGGTCAGGGTCAGCCCATCAGAGAGGCCCAGACTTCCCTTTCCCAAACCAGCGGAGAGACATAGGCCCTCCAGCATGTCCTGGGTCTTCCTTTAGGTCTCCTCCCGGTGGGACATGCCCAGAAAACCTCACCAGGGAGGCATCCTGACCCAGACCCCCGAGCCACCTCAACTGGCTTCTCTCGATGTGGAGGAGCAGCGGATCTACACTGAGCCCCTCCTGGATGACTGAGCTTCTCATCTTTAAAAGAGAGCAGACACCCTGCAGAGAAAACTTCATACTTCCCTCATTCAAGAACAAGAGATACTTAAACTCCTCCATTTGGGGCAGGACTGTTTCTGACTTGGAGAGGTCATTCAGCCCTTTTCTAGCACAACAACATGGTCTTGGATTTGCAGGAGTCACTACAGCCAAAGTTGGTCTGATGAAGTCAGCAGACCACACCCTCTGCAAAATGCAGGGACTTGATCCTAAAGCCTGGGACACACAGAAGACGGATGTGCTGCGCCACGTCACACCCGGGCAGGTATTTAAAAAAGAAGTTACTGAGATTGGCTACACGGGGAGCGCAACGCCACGTCCCACTGAGGTGCTGAAGATAGCGACAGTTCTACTTCAAGCAGCGCGGCTGTTTACAACAGACATTACGACACGGAACGACACACACACCCAACCAAAGCCACCAAAACATGGATGAGGAGCTTATAAGTGTTACTTGATGACAGTATTGATAACTTTAAAGTACTATTAATCTTACTTAATTAATAGCTTACTTACCCATTTTTTATGACCTTGTTGTCAAAACACAACAAGTCTGATCACTTTCCGCCTCCTGTTCTCAAGTCCCGCGTGATGTGACTATTGCACTATTTTCCAAGAAGCGCTCAGCGGCGTAGCGATTCCTGTGTGACCATTTGACTTCCCAAAACCGCGGCGCAGTGCATCTGTCTTCTGTGTGCCCCAGGCTTTAGACCATCAAACTTGATCTCCTCAGCACCTTGGCTGTGCCTATAAATCCTGTCCATAAACATTAAGAACAGAATCATGACAAAGAGTCCAACTCTCACCAGGTACAAGCCCAACTTGCTGCCAATAAGTCAGAGTGCAGACCTAGCTCTGGCACCGATCATACCGGGACCTAATGGCAGTTTCACATCTGGACCAGCATGGACCGGGCTGGGTGGCGTCTGTCTGAGAACCACACACACCTCTCAGAAATGGGGAAATCTCCGAGCACGTGGGAAGGGGAAAAGATGCGCGGAAAAGTCTGTGGTGTCTCCCTTAAACAAAGTCTGCAGTGAAGCTCAAGGCGTGTGTGTGTGTGTGTGTGTGTGTGTGTGTGTGTGTGTGTGTGTGTGTGTGTGTGTGTGTGTGTGTGTGTGTGTGTGTGTGTGTGTGTGTGTGTGTGTGTGTGTGTGTGTGTGTGTGTGTGTGTGTGTGTGTGTGTGTGTGTGTGTGTGTGTGTGTGTGTGTGTGTGTGTGTGTGTTCCTCACAGCAGTGAGTGAGAGAGGCAGTTGCTCCAGCTTCAGTCTGAGGCAAAGGTCAAGGTAACTTTATTAATACCCGCATGTAAATTTGATTTGCCATGTGACACGAGAATTAGCGCCCAGTTACACACACAGTCACAAAAAATACACACATCAATAAAAATATAAAATCAATACATGAATAAATAAAAATAAAATCACGTAAAATGGCCACGCCAGACTCATTTCTTATTGAGAATCGTTACTGCCTCAGGAATAAAGCTCCTTTTATACCTCTTGGTCCTGCACTTAGGCACAATAAATCTCCGTCCTGATGGCAGGAGAGCAAGCTGGGCATGCAGTGGGTGGCCCGTGTCCCTAACAATAGCTTTGGCAATTCTGTCTACCTGCCCACTGTACAGTTGTGCTACACTTTTCACTTGTTTTCCAAGCAGACGACCCGACCACTTTACTATCCTTTTGTTTAAGATTTGCCTGGCCAAACCATGAGGCTAAGGAAAAGGATAAAACACTTTCAATAAAAGAACAATAAAACATGGACATTATAGTCCTGCCCACATGGAATGAGGACAGTTTTCTAAGGCAGTACAAACGCTGCTGGCCTTTCTTACCCACAGCATCACAGTTTTCCTCAAAATTCAGCTCCCTATCTATAATTGTCCCCAGATATTTATATGATTTCACCTGCTCAATAGTTTGACCTTTGATTATGGAAAGATCATGCTGTTGTTGAGGCTTCCTTCTAAAATCAATGATCATATCTTTAGTTTTAATTACATTAAGTTGTAGATATGATTCATCACACCAAGAGATAAAATCGTCAAGAACAGGTCCATGGCTGTATTCCCCTTCTCCTAGGAGACTTACAACTACAGAATCATCAGCATATTTAATAATTGTCCTTCTCTCATGTTTGCTTTGGCACATGTTGGTGTATAAAATATACAACAAGGGGGACAAAACACAGCCCTGAGGAGATCTGGTAGACACAGTTTTCTTATCCGACAGGGTACTATTCACTCTGACCTTTTGTGTTCTGTTGATCATAAAATCTAGTATCCACCCAAGCATGCTTTTACTCAGGTGAAACTGTTCCTCTAGCCTATTAACCAAAACATGAGGCTGGATTGTATTGAAAGCGGACGAAAAGTCCACAAAGAGGAGTCGAGCATGAGTTCCTACTAGGTCCAGATGATGAAAAAGCATATCCAACAGAGTGACCGTTGCATCCTCCACACCCCTCCCAGCCTGATATGCAAACTGTAGAGGATCCAGCAGTCGCTGTGTCTGCTTTAAAAGCTCGCATCTAACCAGCTTTTCAAAGATTTTCATTAAAATTGAAGTTAGAGCAACAGGGCAGAAATCGTTTAAAATACCTGGATGTCTCACCTTAGGA